TGCCCAGATGGACCTTGGTCTGTGCCCGCATTTGGCTATCCCTCGAGTTCCAGGGCCTCATACCTAATGTGTATGGACACCTGGGGAGGCGAGGCAGGCTGGTAGGAAATTCTCCTGCCACTTTTAGCAGTTTCCATTCCTCCTCATTCCTTAATTCCGCCCCTCTGCCCTACAGCAAGAGGGTAGGGGTTCCTCAGATGTTTTAGGAGTGTTCCCCCGGTGCACTTCTTGAGATGACTGGAGGGTGTGACTCCACCAGTCTATCTGTTTCTCACACTCCCTGATGATCTTTAACCTTTCTACCTCCTCCTTCAGTGATGCCACCAGGCTAAGCAGTTCATCTACCTGTTCACACCTAATGCAGATGTTGTCTCTGCTACCCCCCAGTAACACTGAGAGGCTGAGGCACTCCCTGCATCCAGAGACCTGGACTGCTGCATATACATGTAGCATCTTAGTCTGTGTCCCCACAGTCTTCCTGGTGCTGCCTTTCTGCCAAGTAGACACCATGGCTTTGGCTGATTCCTCACTGAGGTGATAGTGGGGAGAGCTCTCCTGCTGAGCCGGGAGCAGATCTGCCTGTGCCAACTGCCACGCCACGCCCTGACTAGTCACTAACGCTCCCTGGGGGTTGCTCTTGTACTCCAGGGGCTTGGGCCACCTTCCCTCCTGGCCCCACCTACACTGTCTCAGAGCCACCTCTGGTGAGGGGCTCAGCGCTACCCGCTTGGTGGGGCTGGGGCTGCCTCTCGCTTCGCGGCTTTGCCCGTTTTTGCTCCACAGGCAAGGGAGCTGGAGGCCACGATTTCTAGGCACTAGTGTTTCTGCTCAAGTAGTGGCTAGCACGAGATGAAAAGTAGGGCCCTGACAACATTACTCACTTTCAACACCAAAAATGTGAACGCTGAAAGTCATGACACTGAAAAACTGAGGCCTAAGCACATTCTGCAAGAAATACCTGTTTGTGCTGATTGATGAGTGGCATTTCCATGTCCTGACTAGCAGATGCCATTAGTTGGTGACGCTGGGGTGTCGCAGCAGATGCCTTTTGCTTGTTCCTGCACATACATACTAAGAAGAAAAGGCAGGCGATAACCAAAGGGATGGCTATGCTGGGAACCAGGATGTAGAGGATTCCCATTTTGCTGTTGTCATGTGGGCCTGTAGGGCACAGAAAGATTCATTGGTTACAATCAGCATTTGTAATGCATTAGACAATAAAGAAAAACAAAAAGCACTAGAGTCTGGTGTCTGACAACATGTTTTTAAACAAAAAGTAACCCTCTACAACCTGAAAACAGAAGTCATGCTTTTTTCCCCACAGAGTAATTTTCCTTTGAATGTTGCAGAGACATCTGAATGAACACAACAGCAAGCAGTATGAAGATAATGTAGGACTCCCAAATTTAATACAGCCTGTTTTGACTGTACTAGTACATGGTTTATCTTACATTATTTTTGAGGTTTCCTGCTGTAGCAAGTGCAAAATACAGATTGTAGAATCATTGCATTAACTTGTTGATTGGATATAAAGTAATTGAATACTCTTCCTTATAGCATATGAAGTCTCAATGTCATAAACTGCAGCACAACTTGGCAGTCTGGCCTTCTCACTCATCTTCAACTATTTCATCAGCACTTTGCCCTGTAATTTACCTCCATGGATACTACCTTTGTGCAGAATAAAAGATATCTCACTTCTCACTGGCAGGGACATTGTGTACTTAATAGAATTAAAGTCCTCTTGTTAACACAAGTTACAATACAACAGAGATAAAAAGGCCATCATTACATTTAATAGGACTATTTGGGAACCTTTGGAAATTTTTTTTTTCCTTAGCGTTTAGAGACTACAGGACAGCACAATGATGTCCAAAGGTTTATTGGTTGTCTTCTGCAATCCGTGGTTGTGCTATTTGTGACTGCTGTTTTCACCATAACCACATCCCAGTGTAATCTTTACACCATGTTGCATGCAATGTAGAAATTTATTGTATATGTCAAATGCTATTGCTGTAAAAAAAAAGTCAAGTAAATCAGAAATTTCATATCAATTCTGGGTGCTCTTAGATATCCAGGAAATCTGTACTGAAACTACTTGTATGGCTTCCACAGTACATTTGTTGCTGCAAGAAACATGCTTTTCTTCTTAATAAGCACAGTATTAAGTTGCTTTGTGGTCTCTAAAGACTGTTAGGAGTCTAACAGCTCTAGAATGAAGTCTGCACCAGTACGGGAAGTAAACAGTACTGCATCAACATGCTGTGAGAGGCTGTTGCTTATTTTTGCTAACAGTAGTGCAGTACTGATCCAGAAGCAGATAGCATAAGGCATTTCTGATAAAAAAAATCTTTCATGACATCTCTGTTTCTGTGCTTTGGGTTTCTTACTACCAAGCAAAGTGCTATATCTCCCTCTACGGGATCTGAATATCTTTCCTGCCTGCAAGATACTGTACAGAGTAAAAGCAATAAGTACACTAAGGTATGAAATTTAACAAGTTTGAAACCAAACCACAACAGTATCGTGAATTATCATCTCTGCTTCAGCCTTTAATACATAATAAAAAGTAGCACAATATTTCATAGTTACAAGCTCTGCTCTAAAGCCAATGTTGCATGTGTGCAACGCAAAACAAGGATGCTGCATGACAGCAAGTGAAATATTTGAAAGCACAACTTGCTAAGTGAAGCACACTTGTAACAACACGGAACATTTAAAAATCACAAAGGATTTAGGCCAGTTGTAGAGGGGGAAAAGGAAAGAGAATACATACTACAAGAAGGTATGTCACACAGTTCCATGCGTACGTTTTTATTCTTTGTAAAACACCAGGGCCCGTCCATCTGACTGCCAGGATTTCGGCAATATGCATGCCCACCGCCCAGTTCTGGAAACTGTGCGCTGGTTAGATTGTGGGTGTGGGGATTCTGTGAGTCCCAGAGTTGACAAGTGTGGCCAGATTTGGTGATGCTGACCATCCCTCTGTAATCCGCTCCAGAGCCGTTGTAGCACTGGTGATCTGTAACACAGGATTTGACAAAACGTTACAAACCACAAAATAATCAGGAGGTAGGAAAACCAAAACAGCTGTAGTGCATACATCACATGCATAAAATGAAGCACATTAAGATTTAAGTACTTAAATGTAGGCATTTCAATAGCAGTTGTACTTTTTGAAATTTCAGCTCTGTGGATACCTCTCCTCATGGATGTTTTTGAATTCTGCCCTTAAATGTCTCCATCCTACAACTACACATAAAATCATTTGGTATCTCTGAATGCAAGTGGGTACCAAGTAGCATGCAGATTGGCCCTCTAGACACAGGACAAGATAAGTTTGACTAAATTAGAGATGTGAGGTTGACTAAATTAGAGATGTTCCCTTCCTAGAGAAATTAGCATTGAGGTTTTTAATGCCTCTTGCTGATTTTCCCTTCATTTCTCTTCTAGAACAGCAACAACAACAACAAAAAACAAAACAGGCTTTTCTTTTCTTTATATGCACCACTCTCTCGTATCTGGTGAACTCTGGTTCTTTCCTCTCTTCACATCCTTTTGCATGCTTGTCTGCAACATGCAGCACCTGAACTGAACTGTGCATTTCCCCACACATTTGCAACATTACACTCTCCACTTTCCTGAGTCCCCTTCCCCAGCCCTCAGGAATCCAACACTCGCAAAACAGCTTTCCATTTCCTAAAAAAATCAAGGATACTCAACTGGAGCTGTTCCACTAGAGGGAGCAACAGCTGACTATAAGCACCAAAGACAATCATGCTTTCAAATCTGCCAGATTTCAGATTGGTTGTTTTTATTCTTATTCCTTTGGGTTGCTACCTCTTCCCTGGCTGATCTGGCTCTGTCATCACTTTCTCAGTTATTTCTGAGCTCTAATGCACTAATTCAGTTATTTTCAGCTCCAATGCACCTATGTCCCACTGGCATACAGGCAGTTTTCCATGACCCCTGCTCCTAATGGGGGGTTCAGAAAACAGATATTCAGAATAAGCTGAACACATTTTGAGTTTTAAACATCTTTTTAATCATGCAGCTTTCCCATGGAGCCAGGTATGGTGGTGGTGATCAATTCCTGGGAAACAGGCAGAGAAAGTGTTGGCGCTAACAACTGACAACCTTTCTCATGCTGGGTGCAAATATAAACCCACAGAAACAAGATGAATGTTTTCATCCATTCTCTGTGTCAAAAGGTCAAGTACACTCAAAGCTTGATTTACAGGATGAATGTTATTATGGATTTCTATATAGAAAGAATGAGCATCAAATATCCTAAAATGTGTAATTACTTACTAACCATTCTCAGTGAAGTTTCTGCAGTTTATTTAAGGTTTACTGACACTTAATCGGTACTCACACATAGTTGCGTGGGGTGACTCATGCAGAAAGATAAAGACTAAAGAAGATGGGTAAATGAATCATCTCTTACTGGTCAAGGACCTCAAGCCAGAGTTTGGGGAAAGGTGTGTGGGTAGGGAAGCCTGCAATGCACTATTGCCTCTAGCAAATCTGTGCCAAAATTGGTGTGTGAACACATAATTTTATTATCTAAGGTCATCGATATAATTCTTTTCAGTGCTAAACAACATTTTTTTAGCTTCCTCACCACCCTAACCTTGCAACAACACAAAACTAAATCAGTATTACTTTTTATGCTGTTAATAATGTCCAATATGGCCGTATTTTCTATGCAAAAAGAATCTCTCATCATATATTGTCTCTCAGTCTCAACCAGTGCTGAAGGCCCAGACTTCACTTTCTCCCCATGATGAAGCATCAAGACTTACATCGGTTGAGTCTCTCCACAGGGATCCCAATCCTTATGCAATTGGCAGCCTCCATTGTGTTAGGTTGTGGGAGATCCTCACACTTCGGCAACTGCAGCTGCATCAAAATGAGGGGATTTGACCTGGCGATGTTATACTCTTGCCGGCAGAGATCGTTCTCTAGGACTTCGCATTCATCCCTGCACAGCTCTCGCGGCTTCGGAGTCCGTGAGTGCTCATCACACAGGGGAAACACAAAGTGGCAGAAAGATGGTATGGCAAACTGTGAGCACTGGTCGGACAAATGCGTGGAACTGCCAATCATGGTAAATGCAGCTGGAAAGAAAAAAAAATCATGGCTATGTACCAATTCATAGTATGTACAAGCAATGCATTATTTTTATAGTGTTTACCTTTTACAGTTCTGTCCTTTCTGAAAGTCTACTGAGTAGTGGGGAAATAAGGTCATTTTTCTGCAAAGGACAGACAGCAAATGCAGAAAGCAAGCCCACCACTCTACTGTCTCTCTGATGTCTGCACATAGTTTGCAGGACCTCATTTCTTCGGAAGTCACCCAGGTGATTGGGACTGAGCAAGTTGTGTAGTGTTGAACTAATTTCGACTTGAAAGAATTATGATCTGAGTCGACGCACCTGCCAGGATGTTAACCTGGGCTTCCAAAGTTTCTAAGTAGGTAAAATAAGGATCACTTAGCTTCTTCCTGCTATAGATGTTTTGATCAGTAAACAAGATATGTGTTTTCCAGTCCTTGAAAGGCAAAGGGAAATGTGCTCTTGATATTTGGGGAGATATTGCTATTAATAGATAAGAGAAACATAATAGGCAGCGGTTTGGGGAAAAATGAATGTCATTAATCTCAGCATACTGATCACATTAAGATGAATGTCATAATTAATTAAGCACTCAATCCTCCCCTTAAGCTCTTAGTGCTGACACGCTTGCATTTATCTGGGAGTTTTCTTGCACATTTGAAAAAAGACACAAACGTGCACGTGCATCATCTATCAGGGGGTGAATCAAGCTTTGAATGTAGGAACATTCCCACATTTTATAAAGCATTAATTGTGAGTGAAGGTTGCTGGACTGCACATCCCACCAACGCATGCTGTAAGAAGGAAGGAAATGAGCAGTTTAAGTCATTCAGTACTCATGATATCAGGCCTTGAATGACAGCTGTGAGGTGTGCTTGTCCCTAGGACTAACAGAGAAAAATAAACCTGAAGGAGCCAACTAGTAACTGTTGGTTATCCAGAAAAAAAAATAATTTTTGTGAAGGTCTTGCAGAATTTGGATCAGCATGTCTTTATTTTGATGTGAGCAACAAAAGCAAGCAGGGATGGGTGGTGACAGTGTAGCACTCAAATAAGATGTGCAGAGGGGCAGAAACATGGGGAGCTGGTGATTACCAGGGTACCAGAGGGCAGGCAGCAACGCTGAGAGCAAAATATCAGCAGCCTTGGCCTCTGGAGGAGCCTCTAATCAGCAGTGATACCTTGTGAAGGTGAGGCAGTCACCAAAGTCTAAACATCTGGGTGCAGAAATACAAAGGTCTTCTTTACCACTCAAGCCCTGCGCATTCTTGCTAAGATCTTTGGTCTCCAAAGAATGCCAAAAATGGCCCAGAAAGCCAATTAACCACTCATGTTTTCTAAGATCCTTTCTCAAAGCTTGTCTACTTCTATAAAGTTATGTTAAATCTAGGATTTACTCTATTCCCAAGCCTCTTTCCAGGTTCACTTAGTTATAAGGGCCACGAGCCAGGGATCAATGCAAAAGCATAAAGCTGATGAAAATGTTCAGAGAGGGGGGGAAAACTGAATTTTTTAATTATTTCTTCTATCTTAGATAATTTTATCCAAGTGAGAAAGTGAATATACAAGCACAAATATGCAGACAAATGGCATTTAAGAGTCTTGAACACTGGCATAATTTCAGTAGAGCATCTGAATGAAATATGTGGGAAACGGCTCTTTCAAGAAGAGTCTATAGGGGGTTATTTTACTCTTTATTGCTGTTTTTTCTGTCTCGTAAGTCATGTTTCAAGTTTTACTCCAGAAATGCCCTTCTGTAGTAGAAGGCTGAGATTCTCACCAAACCACATGTGGAAGAATTGTTTGAAAGCAGGAACTGAGAGGAAAACTAGGGCCTAACCAAAGTTTTGGCATTACAAAACCTTTTTTGGGGTGATACACAGTTGCCACTTCCAGGATGGTTGGTACGCACGGACTCTGCTCCTCCACGGTTCCCTAGGCAACACAATCTGCCCTCCTCGTAGCTGCAAAGGGGAGTAACGGAGGATGGATCGGAGTGAAGACACCGCAGCCAAACTCTGTTGCACTGCCTGTGCTGGGCCGCTGATAAGCCGCACAGTAGCTGTCCAATGGGAGATATACGATAATATGTCTGGTGTTGAGCCAGCAAAGGTGGCAAATCACTCCTTTTGGATGAACTTTGCTTGAACTTTGCTCATTATAATGTCAAAACCACAGACAGTAGAGATGAAGGGAACGTATATCACACATTGGCAGAGCAAGGACATGGAAAAACAGAATGAAAATTCCCCACCGATTTTGTCTGTGTCCTTTTTAAATAGATTTTTGGTGTTGGACAGTAGATGTCACTATTATCCATTCGCAGCCTCCACTTAAAATATTGTGTGCCTTTGAATACAAAGAGATCCCACCAAAAACTATACTTAAAAAGCATAAAGCAAATATAAGCAGAATATAAGCAAAATTTACATAGTTGTTTTTTCCATCTCACAAAACACTTTGGTCTCAGAAGTATCCTGGCATTAATTCAGAGAACATTGCAATACTTAAGCTTTGCATTTAAGATTTGCAAGAAGCAAGTATGCCATAAAATCAACAGTGATTACTTTGTACATGGCTTCCTTTAGATGAATATACCTTAGAAATGCTATATAATACTATTATCGTTACTGCTTCAATAGGAACTACAGTACTCTGTGTGGTGAGTTTTCCCAATAAAGAATGGTTCAATCATAAATTCTTCACAATACCAGCCCATAATCTAACCAATAACCAGTGGAAGTAGGGAACATGTAGTCTGATCGTGAGTGTCCATACTATATCTTCCAGGAATAAATATAACTTGATCAGTAAATATTTTTGGAAGACATTGCTGTTTAATTGCTTTTTGAAAAGGGCATTATGAACCTAATTCACAGAATTACAGATTTAGTCATTGTTGAAAAAACATCTAAACAGAACAGAGATGATGTCATAGGGAACGATGTCAAATCCTTTAAAAGTATGAATTAAGAGGTGAGAATTATAATAGAGTACAGGAGATAGGAGAGAGGGGAATGAGTCTTAACAGTACGGGAAAATCTTTGACAAACCCAGTATCTGATCACCATATCCCCATATCAGGAGCAGGAAAAAAATGAATTTCTGGTTTGACATGTACTCTCTTAAGTAAAGTCTTTACAGGAATAGAGTTGAGGAGCAAAGTCAAGCTTTTTTGGCAACTGATTGTGTTTAAATAACAGATTCAATTAGCTAGCCATATTTGACTAGATGTGAATAAGCCCCTCCTGGACTGAGTTAATTTGCCATACATTACTATAAACAGTTTGCACTATTCCACAGATTCATTCACTTGCTCTAGTTGTGTGCATTCAAATCACAGCTGCTAATGTCAGTGATCACTCTGATGAGGTCCAGTGAAGAAAATCTAGGTTGATGTACAACCCATTAAAAGTCATTAAGGCTTTGGACACGTATTTGCAAGAAATGATGATCAGAGAAAGAATCAGCAGGGGCAGAGCACAGGAAGGTCAGCTCTTGTTTTATATAAAACAATGTGAAATCCAAACTCTGCTGGGACTTATGCAGTAGGGGAGGGAAACCCAAGGGAACATCCATCATATTTATTTCAAGAGAACCAAAACACAATCATTTTCATTACATCCGAACGCACTTAATTTTTTAAAAAAATCTTCTATTTGAATCAATCATGCAAAAAGTGCCAATGCAAATCACAAGCTGTTAAAAAGTCAAGACTCTGACACTTCACTTAAGGTGGAAAATTCTTTTATATGATAGTAACTTTTATCTTCTTTGTTCCAAAGTTTTCTAACTGGAAGAAAAAAACTGGATCACCGACTCTAAACCCTTATATATCTCAGTCATTAACTGATAAAGTTGAAAAGGATGATAACATGTTTGCACTTGCATTAGATATTTTCACAAATGCTTATTGTCCTACTACGAAGGTACATAATCTTACCAGTAATTCGGTTTTCAATTTCCCCCTGCATCTGGAGGGAATCCACATATATAGTCCTGTTTCCAATGATTCGGGCACATGCAATTCCCCGGTATGGCTGACAGAACCCATCTTCATGGTAATCTTCTCTGCAAAAAGACAGATTGGGATTGTATAAACAGATGTCTAGCTGTCCCCAATGATTTTTTAGGAAACGTTCTGTTATGAAAGAAGAATGAAAACAAAAAAATGTAAATCTGAAAAGGTTTAGTTCCCCAAGTGCAACTTACTCCTCCAATTCTCTCTTTTCGCTTTACACTACCTTGGAAGTATTAATGAGGCACCTTGTTAATAGCTCATTAGCAAGCCAAAAACTGATATTAATTTAAAAGACATACGCTAATAGCAATGGGATTTGGCAGATTAATCTATTAAAATCTATTAAAGCACTGTTAGGCTGAGACAGTAACATAGATCATGTTACTTCATGCATTTTTGGCATCTAACTGTATTCAGTACAAGTAGGCAAACAATTGGCTCTCTTCTCCCACCTCTTTCTCCCATTCTTCATTTTCTGTAGTTTACAGCACAAGAGAACTTGCAAAGATTTAATAAAAATATGGAATAATTTTGAACTATGAGTTAGATAAACACAATGAAAAGTAATCCAGAGTATAACTTCTTTTCCTCCTCTCCTTGTTCAGTCAATGCCAAATTCCCCTTCCAACATATACTTGAATGTATTGCTCAGTTCAGCTATTGGACCACATTCTGCTCTCCTTACTGCAGCATAAATATTTTGAGATAAAAGGATTAGCCTAAAGGCCCAGTGGTTCAACATATCCTCCCCAAAGCCCTGGTAAATAATATAGAGCTGGTCTGTAGATCATAACTGCTTGAGTACTGAAAAGTCTCTCTCCCCAATTGAGAGCGCTCTCAGGTGTAATATCCATCACACCACATGCTTCCTCTGGCATATCACATCCTCTGCACTAGGATCCGCTACTGCATGATGGACCGAAAAACATATAAAAATTAATCTGGAAAACTATCACTCTAGAGCAATCCTAGCATACCCAAAAACTTATTCCGCTTTTTCTTAAGCAAGCAGTCAGTTTATAAGTCTGCGTTTCCCCTCTATAATTTTAAGTGTCATTTCAATACTCTCCTGTGCTTTGTACCCTATATATTATCTTTGCTTACTCATTTAATCCACTTTTCTTTCAAATATCTTCAAATTTCCTGCATTAGTCATGCATGTGAGCAGGACAAAGTTGTCAGTGAAAATGTGTGAAAACAGCCTGCTTAAACTTTGGCTGAGACAAAAGAGCACAGAAACCTACCATCACACATGAACTAGTCATGATGAACAGCTCACCCAACACCTGTGCAGTGCAGCCCATTGCTTCTGGCATGTCATGCTGCCTTAGGTCCCCCCTTTGTTTTTTCTTGTTGTGTCTCCCTGATAAAGCTCATCTCTTCTGGGAAATGTCACCACTGTTTCTTAGATTAAAACTCTTCAGAACCAGCAGTCTGGGCAGGATTGTCCTCTAACTGTGCAGTACAAAACTGGCACCATCCGCCATCATGCAAGCAGCAATTCTCTCTCTCCTTTGGGAGAAATAAACACTAAATGGAAGGACCTGATCCATCACATGGCAGCAATGTGGACCATGTGGATTTATGATATGCATATCATATGCATATGCATAGCATATGAAGTGCCCCATGCAGTTGTTGTACAGCTCTGGCCTTCATTTCCTATCACAGTGTGATTGCTCCATATTTATAAGACAATGTTTTGTCTACATACACCAAAACGAGATCAGCTTCCACGAAGATGCACAATTTTTCTATTACGGAGGATGAAGCAAAGGTGGAGCCTTTTAGGATCAGCTAATGAAATTCTTTCACGCTCACTACAAAACCTCTAATTTTGCAACAATTGCATCATGCCCAAAGGGACGAAAATATCAAAGCGTTTTGTCTGTTCCTGTTTTATGAGCCCTGGCCACCTCAGCAGAGTCAGCAATGCCCATAAGGGGCAGAATGAATATGAAATCCCTATTTTACCTCTTTCTTGAGGGTAAATTCATACTCCTATCCTGAGCAACAAAGTCTGCAATGTCTCAAAGCGCAACCGTATCTTGCACTTCAACTCTCAGCACAGGACTCCCTTGCCAGCACATATACACACAAAAAAGCATAAAAAATAGTACTCCAAACAGCATAGTTTAGTGACAAAAGCTGTGTGATCTCTCACTTAGTTCCATTTATTTATTTCTGTCACAAAGTTTCGAATACATATACATGTATGTTAATGCAGATTTCTCCTGCCACATGCAACTGCTGATTAAACAAAACTGGATATGACCATTGCCATGGATGCAAGCAAAAGTAAACAGTAAGTCAACGTCAGATACTCAAAGAGAAGGGCTTTTGCTCCGCATGTATCACTGTCAGGACAGATGGGTCCTTAAGGCACAGAGCTTCACCAGTACTCATGATCAAGGGGGACAAAATGACCAGAAATACTGACCCCTCAATTCTCTGCTGCTTAGGCTGTAAAGTCAACCCTGATCAGGATCCCCAGTAAGAGTAGAAATACAACTCCACGTGAGGAATCCAGAAGAGTTCAATTTGTCCCAATCACAGGCATCTTACAAGTTAACTGCCACAGATACTTTTTTTTCTTTTTACCTCTATTCTTTATTATTTCTTGCTGAATGTTTCAAGGTGGCAATATTTTTCCCACCAGTGATTTTCTTACATTTATATATAATTATTATTTTTTTTTACAAGACAAGAGTCAGGGACATTCTATGCCTTGAGTTTCTTCTTCCATTTCTGCTGGAGGACTGTCTCGAAGATAGGACACCTGGAACACAAATTTTCTCAGCATTAAATTGGAGATAAGGTATATTGTCCCAATGAGTAAACTCTCCTCCCAATCACTGGTCAGATGTTTGAGCAGAGTTTAGATTTAAACATGAAATTGTGAAGAATCTGACTGAGCAGTCCCTCTATTCCTAAACCTCCAAATGTTGAGGTCAGCCTGGGGTCAGTCTGGGGCCGTATATTGGAGATGGAAATTTCTATGATCTGTAGAGTCATAAAAATCTCCTGGGGGAAGCAGGGGCCAGACCTTGAGAAAGATGTTTGCCTGCCTGGGCTGAGTGATAAGGAGCACAGAGGCAGCAGCTCAGCCAGGTTCACAGCCAGGCCCCTCCGAAAACCCAGCTGAAGGCGGCTGCTCGACCGGGCTTGTAGCCAACTTAACCGCAGACGTCCTCCAAACTAGCTTTGGAGGCCAAAGACCCGGAAATGAGGAAGAAGATGAGGAAGGCAGGACCCTCGAATTGAGGCCTGGGACCCCCGACTGGTATGCACGCCTGCGCACCCAGGGGGCAGAGTTGCGCAACTGGAGGTGGAGTTTGTCCACCCCCCTCGGCCTGCCTCCTGGGTCGTACTGACCCTACATGCCAGGATGCACTGGGCATAAAAGTGGACAGTGAGGAGAGAGCAGGGGGAGAAGAAACTCCTAACTCTGAGTCCTACGCTACCTACCATCAACTTCCTTTAATATCCATTATATTAAATGAGAGAAAAATATATAAAGGCAAAGTGGTAAGCACTACCTTCATTATATGCTGTCCAACCTGTAAAACAGTATCTTGGTGGCACTGCTAATCACAAGTGGGGAGGTACTGCCTCACATTTAACCCTAAATTAGGTTAACTGTAATATTATACAGAAGTGTATCTGATGGCCTCTTCTTCCTATGCAATTTGGAAACCTTGCTGCAGCAGCAAGAGAGTCCCACAAGGTTAGTTTATTGGCTTTGTAACCAGGTAATGCAGTACAAAGAAGCCATATTACACCTTGGGAGCTGGAACATTTGATTTATAGGGTAGCACAGAAGGTAAAGCTTTCCTGGAGGTCTATTTTTAATCATCTTTTACATATATGTTTAGCATGCCATTGTTTTTTGGAAATCTGGACAATATTAATTAGCAAACATGACAGATTACCACAATCTTTTCCTAATATTCTCCATCAGCTTCCTTCCTTTGCTCTATCATTCCTTTAAAAGAAAGGAAAAGACTACCACTCACAATAGTATTGCCAGATAACAAGCTGCAGAAATAGACACACTTGTATCTACCCCAAGATGCTAAGCATAGTAGTTTGAATATACACCTGGAACTTAAATTAGTCACCTTTTTAAGCCCACATTTCATTTCTATTTCTAACATTAAATAACATACAGTGTACTAGATCCTTCAGCATTTATTTGAGACTAGACAAGATTTAAGTGGAAACTCAAAGCTGAAGAAACAGGGTAATGTGGGAAGAAGATGGGATCTAACGCTGTGCAAAGCAACCCAAATCATTATTTCCCCTGCTCTTTATTTCTACCGTAAACTATACTTATTCTAGGTTTTCCTGAGCAAAATCAAACTATTCCAGAGCACAAAAAAACGTTAGGGAAAATTTTCTCTCTTGGTTTCCATAATAAGACAGAGGTTACTGCTTCTTCCACGTGTGGTCTATGATTCTGGACAGACAAAATTTTTAGTAATATATATTATTTGTGACACAGTACACACATCAGCACTACTAGGAAGGGTGCTATTGAGCCACAGTAAAAAAAAAAAAAGTCACTGCACCACAAAATTACACTCTCAAAACAGATAAGGTAGAAGAACAGTAAGAAAAATGAGGTACAATGGCTGGTTCAATGCAGCATCATGGAAGCTTTGGTTTCCATTCCCGCCTTTCTCTGCAAATTTCCTGTCTCAGCCTGAACAACTTGTCAAAGGACATTAAAATCAATGGGTCCAGAAGCGACTCTGAGATTTTGGATCTCTGTGCTCTGACAGGATCCTCAGCCCTAAACCAGGCTGAAATCCAGACTCCCTTCCACCTTTGTGCCTTGCTGGGGAGGTAGTCTGCAAAATCAAGACATTGGCAGGCTAGAAGGGAATTGCAGCATGTTCCAGACAGATCCCAGATTGGATTGTCAGGGAGCCAGGAAATCTGCCAAAGTAAATGCATGCTGTTTAATGTAGACCAGCTTTGACTAATCTGTGCCTCATTCGTAAAATAGGAAGAGTCTTCCCTGTTGTACAGGGGAAGAAGGTACATT